GCCTACAATGGAAGATCCCATCCCCTGTGCACGGTGCCACGGGGATCACGGTGAGGCTCAGGTCTTCATGTAATCTCTTCCATCACAGCGTGCTGTGCAGGAGCCCTAAGGGCAGTTGTTCCAGCACCTTTGGGTCCCTGCACACCATCCCCTGCTGCGCTGCTGTAGGATCTGCACCCGCTGGGCTCGGCCCACAGGCCTCCGTGGGGGCTGGTCCTGGGCACCTGTGCGTGGGTCTCCGCAGCAGTGAGCTCGAGTTGCCTCGGGCTGCACAAGGAAGGTACTTGGCACGAATAGAGGCACAACCTGGTTCTAGATTAGGTAGAATACTTAACTCTTGCTGGTTTTTAATTTGACAAATCACCCTTTGTTTTGTATATACTACTTACTGCAATCTGTCCTGCTGGAAGACATTCCTCTCTTGTCTCTTCTACCGTCAAATCTGTCACCGGCAATTTCTCTTTTTCTGAATGCTCCTGCTTTGCAAATGGCTCTCCCTTGGGAGTGACTGCTTTGATGCTGTGAAACTCTCTGTCCTGTGACAGAGATTCTTCTACTGTCCTCTGCACCTCAGATATTTCTTCACGGTCTTCTAGAACTGCTTCTTCATATGCCTGCCACTGGCTTTCTTCTTGCATTACATCTACATTTTCACATCCTTCTGTGCTTTGTTTCCTTGCAGAATGTATTTCATTTCTCTCTGAACATTCCTGTAAAATGCTCTCTTCAACTCCCGTTTGGCCCTGAATGCTCTCTGCACTTTCCTGGAGCTGGAGGCCATCCTCCTTTTGTTCTCTGTTTTCAAAGGACTGTTCAAGCAAAATGGTGTCCTGGCCTACAACATTCCCTTCTGTAACAACTTCCTTCACTTCTGACTCAATTCCTTGTACTGCTGTAACTATAGTTGCTGTCCCAGTTCTTTCACTAACCAGCTGTGCTACATCTGCTGACTTGACTCGTTCAACTACTTCATGAAGAACTTTCTGCGTCTGTTTGTCTAATTCTTTCAAATTTTGTTCAGTGGCCTCTACTTCTTGTACAGGTGTAACTTCCTCTGTAGTATCTGGGGTTTCTAACAACTGTGAAACTGCAGAAACCATCTCAGTTGTCTCCTCAGCAAGGGACACTTCCATTGCTTCTTCAGTGCAGGAAGCTTCTGCTGTCTCCTCCAGAGCTGTCACTGCTTCTGAGGTTAGCTCTAGCTCACTTGCCGTGGTGTCATCACTTACTTCCTGTCTGGTCTCTGGAACTGTCGTAGCAGCTACCACTGCTTCTTCCACAGTAACGTCAGAATCAAATGTTTTCTCAGTTTCTTTCTCTTCCTCTTCTTTTGCCTGCTCAATGCACTCTGTCAGAGCAGCAGATATCCAAGATGGTGACCTCTCTTCAATACTGGTAACTGCCCTTTCCCCTTCTACAACGGTGACAGTAACAGCATGTACCAGCCCTTCCTGTGCTTGCTCAATTCTTAGAGTCTCCTCTAATTTTTCTTTCTCTTCCTCTGAGGTTCGGTCTCTCATGGCTTCAGCATCTTTTGCTTGTTGGGCTTCGGTTTTCTCCTGCTCTGCTGCTTCATATTCAGATAAAGGAACAACGGCTGGAATATCTGAATCTTCTTCCGTTGTTTCTGCCATGTCTTCTCTTGCTTGTTTAAGATGAGTTGGTTCTGGCTTTCCATCTGACTTTTTCTTCCTACGCCCAGGCATCAGTTTTCTAAATGAAACCCACGATTCATCTTTTCCAGCCTCGCCATCCGATGTCGAATGCTCCACGCTAGAGCCCACGACAGCGTCCTCAGTTTTCTCTTCCATTCTGGTTTTAGATCTCCTTCTTGGAGTGACTAACCTTTTAAAGGATTCCCATGTTGAAATACCTTCACCTTCAGATGGGCTCCCAGTTTGTTCTGGTGAAGAATTCCCTTGTCCTTGATCACTCTCCTGAGAACTACTAAGAATTGCATCCGTTGCCATTTCTTTGCTCTGTCCAGATTCTTCTAGTTTTTGGCTTACTTGACCAAGCTTATTTTCAGTTTCTTCATCAGAGGATGATGATTTCCTAGCTCTTTTCTTTGAAGAACCTACACATATAAAAGCTTCCCAGGACACCGAGGTGTCAACCTTTCTCTTTGGCTCATCTGTGGTTTTCTCTGGTTTCTGGTCCATCCCATTTTCTTTTACTTCTCCCTGACTTTCAGCAGCAGCATTTTCAATTGCACATACTGCAACACTCTTGGTCTTATCAATTTCTTCTTCTTTATCACTTTCAGAAGGTCTTCTAACACGTTTCTTGGGAGTTACCATCTTTTTAAATGATGCCCAGGGTGTAACACTTTCTCTTTTCCTCTCCACGTCTGAAATGGCAGAATCTTCATTTTCAGTGACCTGCATTCCCTCTACAGCTTTTTCCAAAGCAGGAATTTCATTCATCTCCTCAGGAGAAGAAGCAGAACTCTCCCCTTTTTGTTCCTCTGGGCTATCTGGGGAATCTGATAAGTGCTGAATTGTTTCACCCTGTTCCCCTGACTTAGATTCTTCTCTTTTACATTTATGTTTCTTTCCAGAGAGTTTCTTTAATCCAGTACCTGTAAAGAGTTTCTTTAAAGGGCTGCCTTGCAGTTTAGTCTTTTCTTGAGAAGACAACAGTTCAGCTTCATTTGTGATACCTTCGGGAGGCCTCTTTCCAGCTGCCTCTTCAGGACTTATTTCTGTGGTTATTTCATCTAGTTTGGTAGTATCAGTCATAAATAGATCTGTTTTGCTCTGTAGTCCTTCATCAGCAGGTTTGATTGAACATGGATCATCCTCTGTGTCAGCTGAATGTTCAGAAGTAGAGAAGGACTTCAGTCCAGGAGCACCTGGAATCAGTTTTGTCTCAGGTTCTCCGCTTTCCTTCTGCTCTGGGGTTCTATCTGGAGCTTCTCCTTGCGTGATGTCTTCTGTTGTGGGTGACACTTTCAGGTCTGCTTCCTCTGCTTTTTCATGCAATGCTTCTTTCCCCAGTGGAATAGGTTGATGTCCTTCTCTTTCTTCAGATTTTTTAAGCTGTTCACTTGACATTTCAGTTGCCAAAGTTTCTCCCTCAAGTTTCTCTTCAGAGGGTATTTCAGTTCTGTCATCTAGTTTACACTTCGCCATTGACTCCAGCTTCTCTTTCACAGGTGGGACTTCAGAGGATGTTTTCAATTCTCTATTCTCACTGTCAGTGTCAACAGGTACCACTGACATTTTCAGCAGTTTCTCCGTCACATCACTTTCTTTCTCTCCTTTTTTAGTTTTTTCTTCCTTCTCACCAAGATCTCCTGAGACTTCCACTGGTTTAATTTCTTGCTCATTTTCCTCAGCTTTTTTCTCCACATTTTCTTTAACAACTGCTGCTGCATCCTCTTTTGGTGCCTGCTCATCAAGTTTCATTAGCTCTTCCTTCTCATTTGCTTCAATGCCTGTGGCTGCCACAGGCTTTTTTGTCTCTTGCTTTTCACCTTCACTTTCATCCTTCTCAGGTACTTCGATAGCTACTGCCGTCACATTCCTCTCTTCATCTTGCTTTTCCAACTTGGATTGTTCCACCTTTTCATCAGTTTCAGTTGTTATAGTTGTCCCTTCTTTTTCCTGCTCCTCCTCTTTTGTAGGAGACTGTAGTTCATCATCTTTAGGCTTCCTAAAACTCTTCTTTTTTCTAAATCCAGTCCATCCCTGAGTAAAAAATTTTCTGAATGACGATGCGTTGTCAGTGGCTACAGCAGCTGACTGAGAACAAATCTCATTTGTTTCTGGTGGTTTAGGAGTTTCACCTTCTGTTTTGTCATTTTTCTGTGTGTCTTTAGTGTTGTCTTCTGCAGAGAATGCATCCTCAGGCTTCACTATTTCTTCTGAGCTGACTTCTTTTTGATCATCACCTCCTTCAGAGGCTTGTGTTTCCTTTTTTACAGTAAGCAGCTGCACTGGCTCTGATTTTCCCGTCTTTTCCTTCTTCACCGTGAATCTGAAGCCAACAAATTTAAAAACCTTTTTAAAACCCAGATCATAAGACTGTGGCTCAGATGTGTGGTCTTCTGTGTCTTCTTCCAAAGAAGGCAATGGTTTAACTGTATGAGCATCCTCTTCCTCAGCATCTGCACCATCCTTGGTGGTTGAGTCATGTGGACTTGTCTCCATGGTTTCAGTGTCTTCCTTCAAAGTTACACTGGAATGTTCTGTTTGTCCAACTGTTTAAACAACAATCAAAACACTCCAGTTAGTTTCCTTCTCCATTTAATGTTATATTATACCTTCATATAAATACACTTTTTTTTTTCATTTTTAGCAAACTTTCAAACCCACACTTGTTCTATGATATGTGTATCTCTTCTATGTGGTACTATTACTTTTCCAAGGACTAGTTTTTGTTCTAAGACTACTACAATTCCTTTCCTTCCTCATTTTGTTGCATGCACCTTTGCAAAGTTTATTTGCAAATACACTTTTTAAGCTTATATTCTCCAGTTCTTTCCTTCTTTTTTCAGTTCTTCTGGTGAGGTCCTGCATTTTTTTTACTTTAAGGCAAACTTACGCAAGACAAACAAATTATTTATATCCTATCATTACTCAAAAGAATAAACAGAACAATATATGTAATTATCTCTGAAAGAAAGTTCAGTATCCTTTCTATGCAGAGACCTGTCATGGGGAAAAAAAAAATCCCAAAGAACAATCAACCAAAAAACTCCTGTGTTGACCTAAGGGAATGACAAGAAAATAAAAGCTTATTTTACAACTCTGTCCCAGAAGAATAGTAAGATGTGAAAATGCTCATGGTAAATGCCCTGGTTTTCCAAGAACTTGTAACCCCTAAAACAGTTACATTACAACATACTTGTTTTACAAGATCATGAATCTTGGAATTCTCCCATACATCACATCACCACTACAGCCAGACAAGCCTCATCTACAGCAATTCCACATCGCTTAAAATTAATGAGGTCGTTTCTGTGCAAGCAGGTAGAATCTTACTCTCCACTGTTCACAAGTCAGTGTTTGCATTATCTCCTTCTTGAGCACCGTTTGAGTTTTTCTTTCGGGACACTGGCAACCACCCTCCCAATCTGGGACAATTTAAGTATTATTGCTCCCTCTGGCCCTGAGCTGCCCAAGTTCACAAGCCAGCATATATATTAACCTCCTGCCATGCAGCAGTTAAGAAGTGAGCACACGTTCTCTTCAGAGCATGAAATCACAAGCTCTCTGTGACCCAGACGAGTAACTTTGGAGGAAAAAGGTGGAAAAGAACAAGGATACCAAGCCTTTAAGCTCTGCCATTTAAACACAAAATTCATAGAATCGTAGAATCATTCAGGTTGGAAAAGGCCCTTGGGATCATCAAGTCCAACCATTAACCCTACTTTACAAAGCTCACCCCTAAACCAAATCCTCCAACATCACATTTAAACTAAATTGTGTAGTTAGAACCACTGTTACCTATTACAAGTATTTTAAAAATTGTAATAACTGTTGGATGAACACAAACGAGGATGAACAGAACAAGTGAAGATAAAATCTATGGGATGCTGAGGACACCAAAAGATTCATGTGCTTGGATACTGCCAGGATTTCAGTTTAACATTGTTCTTGACCCTGGATTTTGTACAACATGTGAAAGTGCAAGGCCATGAGGGAATGTACTTTTCTCTCTGTCCAAACTTGTTGGAATGCTAAGATGACAACATGAACAAAATAATTAACAATGTTAAACAGCAACATCCTGTGAGAATGCACAGCCCCTTTCTTTTAAGTTGCACATGTGCTACTTCAATACTCAAGGTCATGACGGAGACAGCTTTCGAAAGTACATGCATCACTGAATTCCTCAAAGTCATTTAGTTTTTATTTGCTCCATCTTTAAGTTGGCTCTAACTCTGCAGCTGGCCCAGCTTTGCACAGGGCTTGGACCACCTCAATCTCCAGAGTTCCCTTCCAGCCTAGATGCTTCTTTGATTCTGCTTGCCTACACCCCCTTTGGGAAGAACTGCATCTTCATAAGCACATGGACAATGTGGTCTAGGTAAGGCTGAAACATAACTAAATAATAAGCAAAACTAAATCTATGAGTATACTGGCTTCTAACAGTTACGCAGAGGACCAATTACGTTTCTGTTCACTACTAGCAGCCTACTGGTGGTTGTTTCTCAGTCAACATAAGCAAAGCTTGCTGTTTTTCCCTTCATCTAAGGGTTTAAAATTATTTACTTCAATTGTTAACTCCTAAGTAGTTTAGAAGTCTGAACTCTGATAACGCCTTAACTCCCTGAACATTTTAACAGAGAGATGTTCACACTGGGTAATTTGTGAGGGAGCAGGGTAAAAGAAATAGATGTTTTTCTGAAAAAGCCGTGACTGTTACTGCATTAGTAAACTCCTCCTGCAAACACAAGAACACTCTCTGTGAGAACTCTTCAGGCTGTGGTAGGTTGGGGAATGGAAATAAGATTATAAGTACAGCTAAAAGCAGCAATAACACATTTGAACTCACTTTTAAGATGGTTACCAAAGAAAAACGGATGTGCTTGCTTGATTAATATTTTTGGACTCTTATGAATCAAGCATTATGTAGTTGTATGCTGAGACTATAGAAGGATAAAAGCTAAGAACTGCTTTTGTACCCACATTCATTTATTCCTAGGTCCAGAAATAAATTCCTTGTATTTTCTGCCAAGCTGCAATTTAACAGAAAGCTTATCATGGCATAATAGGAATTCACAAACTTAGAGACATTTCTTCAAACACTAGGATACATACCACATATTTTATAATTATTTTAACAGGTACTTTAATTTTATCTGCTGGAGGGTAGGAAGGCCTTGCAGAGGGATCTGGAAAGGCTAGACCCATGGACTGAGGCCAGCCGTAGAAGGTTCAACAAGATCAAGTGCCAGGTCCTGCCCTTGGGTCACAACAACCCCTGACAGCACTACAGGCTTGGAGCAGAGTGGCTGGAAAGTTGCCTGGCAGAAGAGGACCTGGAGGCGTTGGTCAACAGCTGTCTGAACGTGAGCCAGCAGTGTGCCCAGGTGGCCAAGAAGGCCAACAGTATCCTGGCCTGTATCAGGAACAGTGTGGCCAGCAGGACCAGGAAAGCAATCATTTCCCTGTACTTGGCACTGGTGAGGCTGCATCTTGAATCTCGTGTTCAGTTTTGGGCCCCCCCTACAGGGACACTGAGGCGCTGGAGCGTGTCCAGAGAAGGGCAACGAAGCTGGTGAAAGGACTCGAGTACAAGTGTTATGAGGAGGAGCTGAGGGAACTGGGGTTGTTTAGCCTGGAGAAAAGGAGGCTGAGGGGAGACCTTATCACTCTCTGTAACTATCTGAAAAGACACTGTAGCGAGGTGGAGGTCAGTCTCTTCTCCCAAGTTACTAGCAATAGGACAGGAGGAAACATCCTCAAGTTGCACCAGGGGAGATTTAGATTGGATACTAGGAAAAATTTCTCTACTGAAAGAGTGCTGAGACATTGGAACAGGCTGCCCGGGGAAGTTGTGGAGTCACTATACCTGGCGGTGTTAAAAAAACCATGTAGACATGGCACTTCAGGACACAGTTTAATGGTCATGGTAGTGCTGAGGTGACAGTGGAACTTGATGATCTTAGAGTTCTTTTCCAGCCTTAATGACTCCATATATTCTTCAGTTTGCCTATGCCAGAAGTAATTTTTCAGGCTGAATTGGAAAACACTGATCATTTAACATTAAATAAAAATTTGTTCATCAGCCAGACCTCTTAACACTCCTGGTGAAAACAAGATCTACTGAGTCTCCCTTCTGTTCTTCCTCAGTCCTGTATTAATGCCAATGTACTTTCTTTTAAACACATGGAAATGTCTGTCTGTCTAGCATGACTTAAATAAAGGTAGAACAAAAAATGGGGCTAAGAGCCAGTGGAGAATACTGGGATTAAGTGGGAAAGACCAGAATCAAGAGGTCAGTACGAGAGGTCAAAAGGCACTTGTGACTCAATGCAGGCAACTGGTGGGCAGCTAGAGACACAGCTTTCTAAGGGTTCCCCCTCCTCTCACAAATACTCTCTGGAAATGTGTACCTACCGTTCTGAAAATCCTGAGGTTTCAAAAAAATTACAAGACGTTTATAGGAGCAGTTGAGGCTGCATTTATTTTGTTTCTTTATTCCCAGAACACAAATTTAGTGTTTAAGAGGAGTTTCAAGGTTTTACAGGTAAACAAGATTACTCTGTGAAGAGAGTGATTCAGAAAACGAATGGATGAAGTCTTCTATTTGCAAAGTGAGAGAGAAGATGTAAGACGAGTGTATAAAGGCATCTCTTCATATAAGTGATAAGCATTCTAAGTTTTTTTGCTTTTTTTTATAAAATGGTGTGTCCATAATGTTACATACCATAGACAGAATTGTGTAAAAGGGCCTCAGGAAAAAAGGCAAGCAGGGATATCAACTTCTACAACTGTGGCTGGCACCCTAGAGGAGGCAATTGTTGTATGGGCTCCTTGACAACCAAAGACCATCAATTGCATCATCAGGGACCAACAACTATGTCATTAAGGATCAACTGTGGCAGGTACCCTGGAGAAAAGCATAGCTTAGCAGAGACTTGATAGATGCCAGTTAAGAAGGACTCCACAAAGAAGAGAGATGCCTCTCCATCAGCCACAAGGTATCACCAGAGACCACCAAAGACCTCCAGAGAAGCCTTTCAGAGGTCCAGGCCATATGCATAATAACTATGTATATAGGATCATTAGTTCCTGGAAACAGAATGAATATGTATAATCTTTCTGGGTCCAGATACGGCAGGCATGATAGAGGCAAAAATTATCCCTCATGTATCCGGCACCGCATCAGAGAAACACCTGCTTTCTAATGCTAAACTGAGTGTTAGAGTTCCTCATGGACCAGATTTTGGTAACAATAACACCCTAAGACAAAGGCTTTGCAGGGGAAAAGTGCTGAGTAACGATTAGAAAAACTGCAGGTATGGGTACATATTACGACAGCAAACAGTCATAAAAATAGAGAACACAGAATTTAGAGGCATAATGACAGGCTTTCAAAACTGTCAGGCTGACAGTAATTAGGTCTTCCTGGTGAGTCTGGCAAACATGCTGCATTACTACCCTTCATTTAATAAATTGCAAAAGGAAAAACTAACAAAAAAATACTAACTGAACACATACTTTTAATCCCAATCTGAAAAGCCGCA